ACCCCAGGTAAACACAATTGTTTCTCTGATGTAGAAACAAGCAGATGTGAACCCCCCTTGGTGTCTTATCCTTTCTTATACTGAAACGATGTCCAGGCACCCTCTTGGGTTCCTTGCTTTCTTTTTACTTGGCCAGTATCCCAGAGAACTTTCCTAAGGGAAGAGTGATGTTACCTGTATTTGAGTTTTCTCCCATAAGCTGTCCAAGCAGATAACCTCTGCCTCGTGTGAGACTCCACCACACTGCTACAGAGGCAATGTGGACAGAGAGGAAGAAACCACCAACTCTGCCAAGGTATATTGGGAAAAGCATGACAAAAGAGGGAACAATCAAGCCGGCCATTGAAGGATGTGTAGGAGTTTGCTGGATGGAAGAGTGAAGGATGTTCTCAGTAGCAACATGTGCAAATATGGTGCATGCTGCCTGAAGCCTGGGGGAAAGGGGTGCACCGGTGGTAAAGACCCTGGGGAGTGTCTTCAAAGGTCTTGTGTAACTTGACCCCCAGCAGGGCGTTGGTCATTGTCTTAGCAGTGCGGGAGTCGTAGGGGGCAGTTTCTAAGGCAGGGAAGTGATCGATGAGAGGGATGCTCTAGAAAGGTAACTGCTATGAAGTGGAGGGAGGTTTCATGGGGCTGGGACCTGGAGGGAGGGAGGCCAGTGGGGAGGTGGCCGGCACTGGGAGGTGGAGAAGAGGGAACGAGCTGGAGAAGGATTCAGGACTTGGAGAGTGATCACAGAGCTGGAAGATGATTTTCCGACACAGCGGCCTCCAGCCATGACGAAAATATGACAGTGGCATTAATGAGAGCGTCAACTCCTGAGTGCACACTCAGCCCGTGCGTTGGGCACTGTTCTGAGCATACTACAGGCACGGACTCATTTGTGCTCTCCACAGCGCCAGGAGGAACCAGCATCGCCCCCATCTTATAACTGAGGAAGCTGGGGCCTGAGAAGGTTCAGAGTTTTTCCCAGGGCTGTCAGCCGCTCACGGTGTGGCCAGTCCCTGGCTGCCCCTGCACAACCTCCTCCTTTCCACATGAAGGGATCATCCACGCCAAAGGCTCACTTCTGTGTCTCCCAATGCCCCACTGGAGCAATACACAGTTCTTCAGGCCCCACAATTAATTGGCATCCTCCAGACATCTGAGAGTGGCCGAGGGGACCAGGCCAGGAGCAGGCTCTGGCAGGATTATCCCACCAGGGCCTGCGTGGACGTGGCTTGGAGGCTCCAAGGCTGCTCCCAGCAAGCACAGGTGCAGGCTTTCATTCCTCGGCAGGGCATCGCCTGCTGGCCCCTAACCTTCTCTCCTGGAAGCCTCACCTCCGAGGTGCACCTGTCCGCCCCCACCCCTCCCTATCGCCCCCTCTGCGGTTTCTACTTCCGCCCCTCTCAAAGACCCTCTGGACGTGCTGGTGAACAGACGGAGTGGCTGGAGCCCATGTGGCCGCCTGGCGTGGACCTCTCTTGGTCGCCGCCCCAGGACCCTGTCCTCACTTCATGAGGATGGGATGGAGTCTCTGGAGCAGGAGGAGCAGGGGAGCCCCAGGGAAGGGCCGGGTTGAAAGAAGCCTCAATGGAAAGTTCATCTCCCACCACATCCTTCAGCTGTTTACCAGTTTGACGGAGTTCAGGCATCCTGACATGAAAAGAGGCTCACCTCTCACCAGCATCATCGAGGAAGGACCGAAATAGCAACAAAGGAAGACAAAGGAGCAGGGTGGGGTGGGGGCGGGGAGGAGAGAGAGTCGTGAGATGGAGAGGAAAGGAGGAAGACAGAGGGAGGAGCGGTGTGTCTGAGCAGACAGTGGAAGGCAGGCACAGCCAGACAAAGCCTGCGTCTTCCCTGGCCCTGAACCCGCACAGCCGCACCTTGCACCTTACGTTGTGACCTCAGTTAATTCTCAAAACCTCCCAGAGCCTGAAGCTCTCCTAATGTCTGTTCCCTTCCCTGTGAGGAAAGTGAAGCCCAGAGACGTCTTGGAACTAGTTCAAGGTCACCCAGCTAGGAGGAGGGGAGCCAGATTCCCAGCCAGCCAGTGCAGCTACCGCAGGGCGAGCAGGAGGGAGGAGAGGAGAGAAGATGGAAAGGTGATAGGCTGGGGGTGGCGGAGAGAGTGGGGGTGGGGCGGGAGGCCACGACACATTCTTTCCTGAGGAAGGATCCCCCACCCCCTCTGCAGAGGACCCCAGCCAGCCCTATCCTGGCCGAGGCAGGTGCCCCCTCCCTGGCCCCCTTCCCCCAGCCCCTCCCACCTGCCCAGCCACCCACCAAGTGCAGGAGGAGGGGGAGGGAAGGGAGTGGTTCCCAGGCCCATGAGCTCTGCCTGAGATTCATTTTCCTTCAAGCCCCCTCCTCACAAACAGCCCCTCAGTCTGCAGGGTCTCCTGCCCTTCTCCCGCCCCTGGCTGAGCCTGGCCAGGCACACACTCACTGCCTCCCCTCTGTCGTTCCACATGGCAGGGAGAGAAAATGATCCTGGTCCAGACACTCATAAGCACATTCCCCTCCTGGGGCCTCCAGGCCACACACACGGCTCTCCCCAGAAATGCCAGCATTGGGCCCATGGGGCTCCGCTTCCCTCCCATGGCCTCCCCTCTGGGGTGACCATCCCTCCCTCCAGGCCTCCCTCTCTGCCCTCGTTTCAAGGCAGGTGAAGGCTGTTCTTCTCTGAGGATGAGATGCTGAAATAACTGGGGTCAGTAGCCCCCCAGCTTTCCTGGATAGCCAGGACGCAGCAGTACCCTTTACCGCACGCTCTGAGAGTCACCCTCACCTCCTGTGGCCAGTGCCCTGACTTCCCGCAGTCTGCTCTGCATTTGTGCCCTCGCCTGTACCCCCCCACCTTCTCGGCACCCTGAAGAGTAGGTGGGTGCATCCTGCATGCAGTAGGAAAGATGGGCACACGCTAGGGAAGCACAGCAGCCCCAGACACACTCCTGTCCCTGCAGGACCCTCTCAGCTCATGCCACGCTCACCCTCTGGCAAGAACAACCCCCCTGCAAGAGAGCTCTTCTGTGGTCCAGGGCCAGACAAGGCCACCCACTGCGGCCTTCTGTCCCCAGGCCACCTCCCCTGGGGACAGTTAGTGCAGGGCTGGAAGCAGCCAAGTCCTCCTGCTAACGTCAAAGCCCCTCTGGCTGTGGCATTAACCCTGGAGCTATGCCCAGTAAAAACCCCAAGACCTCCTCCCTTACTTCCTGTTCCAGGCTCTTCTGTCCCCCTCTTCTGCCCAGGCTCAAGTCTTCCTACTGCTCTGTCAAGGTTTCTTCTTCACTCCTAAATTTATGGCTTGTTTTTTCTTTCTTTTCTTACTCATTTGTTTTTAGAGACAGGGTCTTGCTCTGTTGCCCAGGATGGAGGGCAGTGCTACAATCATAGCTCACTACAGACTTGACCTCCCAAGCTCAATCAACCCTCCTACCCCAAGCTCCCAAGTAGCCGGGACTATAGGCACGCACCACCACTCCTGGCTAATTCTTTCTTTCTTTTCTTTTCTTTCTTTCTTTCTTTCTTTCTTTTTTCTTTCTCTTTCTTTCTTGCCTTCCTTCTCCTTCCTTCCCTCCTTCCTTCCTTCCCTCCCTCCCTCCTTCCTTCCTTCCTCCCTTCTTCCCTCCCTCCTTCCTTCCTCCCTCCCTCCCTCCCTTCCTTCCTCCCTCCCTCTCTTGCTTTCTCTCTCTTTCTTTCTTTTGACATGAGGCCTCACCATGTTGTCCAGGCTAGTCCCAAACTCCTGGGCACAAGTGATCCTCCCACCTCAGCCTCCCATAGTGCTGAGATTACAGGCATGAGCCACCGCGCGCGGCCTGCCTGTTCTTTCACTGAGCCACATTTGGGAGTTGCACGCACCTTGCACCCACCCAAAAGCATGCCTTCCTCCCAGCACCTCACTAGTGTCTGGTAGAGAGCCCAGAACCCTGCCTCTGCCTCCGAGAGCGAGCTCCCTGCTCACAGTCTGGGACAGCCTTGTGTCACCACTTTACTGACTGTTCTTGACCTAGTGACCCAAGACCTGACCATCCCAGTGGGATGAAGCCCCAGGGGCAGAATGAATTTGATTTAAGGCAGCATTTCTCAAAACTGTAATCCACGTACATCTTCAGAATGTTTGCTTTATCTGTAGACCATTTGTTCTTTGGGTCACTAGATAGTTTTTCTTTAAGTGGACTCACCTCTTTAAAACTTAAATTTATTTAAAAAGGAATCGTTAGACATCTTACAAAATATCTGGCAGATACTTTTCAAAAATGCCAATGTCGCACAATACAAGACTCAAGAACTGTTTCAGACGAAAAGTGTCAAAGAGACATCCCGACCGCATGCAAGACATGGGTGTTTGTTGTTGGTGGTGTTGTTTGCCATGAAGGACATTACCAGGACAGGCAGTGAAACAGGAAGGAGACCTATCGATTACAGAGTGACATCAGGGTTACTTTCCTGATTCCAAAAAGGGTACTATGCTTATGTAACAAAGTAGTCTTGTTTTAGGAAATACACAGTGGAGTACTGACACATTTAGAGGTAAGAGAGGCCGGGCGCGGTGGCTCAGGCCTGTAATCTCAGCACTTTAGGAGGCCAAGATGGGCGGATCACCTGAGGTCAGGAGTTCAAGACCAGCCTGGCCAATATGGTGAAACCACGTCTCTACTAAAAATACAAAAATTAGCCAGGCGTGGTGGGAGGTGCCTGTAATCCCAGCACTTTGGCAGACTGAGGTAGGAGAATCGCTTGAACCTGGAAGGTGGAGGTTGCAGTGAGCCGAGACCATGCCATTGCACTCCAGCCTGGGTGACAAGAATGAAACTCCATTGCAAAAAAGAGATGAAAGAACAGCATACTTTTAAATAGTTCAGAAAAAAAAAAAATTGTGTGTGTGTGTATGTGTGTGTGTGTGTGTGTGTGTGTAGATAGGTAGTTTGGTGGGGAAGGTAGGGGGAGAGGCAGAGAGAGAGGGACAGGATATTAACACTAAGTGAACTGGGTGCCAGGTATCCAGGAACTCTATTATCCTTGCAATTTTATTGTATGTCTGAAAGTGAATTAAAATTTAAAACAAACTTCAGAAAAATAATGTTGCTATTACAAGTGGAAAACCAGTATCACTTGGTATAAATTGGAGATAATTCTAAAATAAAGCAATGCCGGCACTTTTGCTAGACACATTCGTCCGCTAGAGTCTGAGTCTAGGACCTGCGTGTTCTTGGTACTGTGTGGAGGTGGGTGAGGGTGAGAGAGGTGGGTGTTAGAGACATCCTTGAGCCAGCCCGACACATTCTCCTTGCTGTCACGAGAAGGACCGGTGCAGAGCTGAAAATGGCTTTGTTTTCTCACGATGTGATTTGGTGATCTTCAGAGTCCTGTCCTATGGCTTCAAGGTCAGGAATGTTCGTTTCGTGGAAGCTTAACAGACGCTCTCTGGGCCAGTTCCAACATGGAGCCCTGGCTCTGGGAGAGAGAACAGGGTCCCTGCCCTCAGGAAGCTCACAGCTTGGGCAGTCATGGGTCCTGGGATAAAAGAGCTTGCTTCTCTGGATCCCAAAGTTCCTGGAGTCCCAGGGATGCAGAGGAGTGATTCAAGGCCAGCGGGTACCCCAGGAGCAGACACACAGCATTTGCAGCTTGGAGCTGACGAAGATGAAAGAACATCATCAGTGTGGGAGAATGAGGTGTCAGGACCCGGCCCCCAGCCTTTCCCTGGGCAGCCGGATGCCCTCGTCCATTACGTGTTTGCTCTGTTTCCTCCGGCTACCTGCTTCCCCTTCTGCTTCCTTCCAACCGCCAATGAGCTTTCCTACCCATCTTTTCTCAGGGTGTATTTCATTTTTTTAATTAACATTTTATTTCAGAACCGCTTTAGACTTACAGAAAAATTGCCTAGTAATTTCCTCCACCCCATACTCAGTTTTCATACTGTTGACATCTTACATTAGCACGGTACATTGATCACAATTAATGGACCCATATTCGTTCACGATTATTCACTGAAGTCCACATGTTCTTTGGATTGCAGATTGCTTCAGGGTTTTTTTGCTTTGTTTCTTTGTTGGTTGGTTGTTTTTTTGTTTTGTTTTGTTTCAGAGACAGAGTCTCACTCTGATCCCCAGGCTGGAGTACAGTGGCACAATCACAGCTCCCTGCAGCCCCGACTTCCCAGGTTCAAGAGACCCTCCCACCTCCTCCCAGGCAGAGGGAATGCAGGCATGCACCACTACACCCAGCTCATTTCTTATGTTTTGCAGAGATGGGGTCTTTTTATGCTGCCCACGGTGGTCTTGAACTCCTGGGCTCAAGCAATCCTCTCACCTCGGCCTCCCAAAATGTTGGCATTACAGGCATGAGCCACTGTGCCCCCCCAGATTGCTTTCGTTTTTATCTAATATGCTTTTGTTTCCAGGATCCCACCCAAGATACCAGATCCCACTGAATCATCGTGTCGCCTTAAGCTCCCCTTGGCCGTGACAGTTTCTCAGACTCTGTTTTTCATAACAGCGACAGTTTTGAGAAGTGTCTGCTCAGGTGTTCTGTAAAATGATCCCCAACTGCAATTTGCCCGATGTTTTTCTCATGCTTAGATTTGGGTTGCAGGTTTGGGGGAGAAAGGCTGCAGAGGTCAAGTGCTGTTCTCATTGCGTCGCTTCAAGGGTCCCTGCCATCAACATGACTTGTCACTGTGGACATCAGCCTGATGGCCGGGCTTTCTCCGCTGCACAGCTACTCTCTTCCACACTGTCCCCTCTGCAAGGAGGTCACTATGCACAGCTAACACGTAAGGAATGGGGGCTAGGAGGAGGGAGAAAGCAAAAAAGCAAAAAAAGAAAGAAAAAAGGATTATGCCCAACCTCTTTCGGGGCAGAGCACCTACATGAATTATTTACAAATTTTCTTCATTTATTTATTTATTTATTTTTGAGACGGAGTCTTACTCTGTCACCCAGGCTAGAGTGCAGTGGCACCATCTCAGCTCACTGCAGCCTCCGCCTCCTGAGTTCAAGCGAGTCTCCTACCTCAGCCTCCCTAGTAGATGGGACTACAGGCCTACATCACCATGCCCGGCTAATTTTTGTATTTTTAGTACAGACAGTGTTTTGCCACGTTGGCCAGGCTGGTCTCGAGCTTTGGACCTCAAGTGATCCACCTACCTCGGCCTCCCAGAGTGCTGGGATTACAGGCGTGAGCCACTGCACCTGGCCTACTTTCTTTTACTTATTCTGTCTTCCATTTATATCAGTATGGGCTCACGGATATTTACTTGGATTAGAGTCCAGCACCATTTTGTGACTCAAGCTATTCCAGGTTTGACCACTGGTAACTCGTTCCACGGGCTCCTGGGACAGTTTCACAGACCCCCAGTGTTGTGGGTTCCATTGATCATGTAGATTTTCTGGCACTTACAAGACGCTCCAGGCTTTTAAAAGGGAGGAAATTCTTTTTAAAAGGAAGAAAATGCTACAATGTAGATGAACTTTGAAGACATCATGCGAGGTGAAATAAAGACAAATACTATATGACTTTACTTACAGGAGGTATTTAGGATAATTAAAATCATAGAGACAGAAAGTAGAATGGTGGTTGCCGGGGCTGGAGAGCGAGGCTTGGGGTATTCGTGTTTAAGGAATACACAGTTTCAGTTTTGCCAGATGCAAAGAGTTCTGGAGACAGAGGATGGTGATGATTGCACATTATGCATGCATTTAATACCATTGAATAGCACACTTCAAAATGGTTACGATGGGCTGGGCTCCGTGGCTCGCGCCTGTAATCTCAACACTTTGGAAGGCCGAGGCGGGTGGATCACTTGAGGTCAGGGGTTCGAGAACACCCTGACCAACATGGTTGAAATCCCATCCCTACCAAAAATACAAAAATTATCTGGGAGTGGTGGCACACACCTGTAACCCCACCTACTCGGTAGGCTGAGGCAGGAGAATTGCTTGAACCCGGGAGGCGGAGGTTGCAGTGAGCTGAGATCATGCCACTGCACTCCAGCACCTGGGCGGCAGAGTGAGACTCTGTCTGAAAGAAAAAAAAATGGTTATGATGGGCCAGGCATGGTGGCTCATACCTGGAACCCCAGAACTTTGGTAGGCCAAGATAGGAGGATCACTTGAGCCCAGGAGTTTGAGGCTACAGTGAGCTGTGATCACACTACTGCATTCTAGCCTGGGCAACAGAGCAAGATCCTGTCTCAAAAAAAAAAAAAAAAGGAAAAGAAAAGGTAAACATGAGCTCACACTAATGCCACCAAATCTAAACCATTACACATGGATTATTCTAGATTTTTCTTATTGATCCATAACCTCCTACTCCAACAGTAAGAAACTGGCTCCCGCCACCTGCCAATCATTTCCTTAATTGTTTGATTCCATACATCATGTTTCTATCTCATACGTTTCCTACTTTCTCCCCAAGATTATAAGTTCCTCAAAGGCAAGGCCTGGGCTTGGTTTTGTTCTTTCTGCCCTCTCTCCTCCAACCCAACACCCAGCAGAATGTCTTTAAAACAGTAGACCTAATACTTTATAAGTATCTACCTGGATAGACGCTCTGCTCATCTCTGGGGATGCAAAGACAGGCAAGACATGGCACTAGCTGTCTGGTGGATCCCAGTGCCGACAAATATTTGTTGAACACTAAATGCAGTGGAATGACAAGTCATGCCCATCCCCCACAGAGAACCCCCAGGAAGGAGAGGCAGACTGAAACGCCAGCTCTGTGCAGGCAGGGATTTGTGCTGGCTGTGGTCACTACTGTAATCCCAGCACCCTGAAAAGGGTCTGGCACATAATACATGCTTAATAAACGTTTGAGGAAGGCAAGGGCAGCTCTCCATTTACATGAGTGACTTTCAGATTCCTTGCACTTACGTTCCCCAGACATAAACTCCCCTAAATGTCCCCTTCTATGCAGAATCTGAACCACTCACATCTGCAGGTGAATGAACACTGGGGCTATCACTGCCTGCACCCACCCTCCTAGACGCCTTTGCCTGTGCAGTTATTTTGACACCTGGTAAAGTATTACTCTACAAAGGTGGATGGAACATGGAAGCAAAGGGCCAATTCCAGTAAGAGATTAGACCTCACTAATCTAATACTGTTAGGGCACGGTAGAGACATCTGGTCCACTGCTCTGGGAAACTCTCAGGAAACTGTCTGCCTTGCCACCCTGTAGCATGATTCTTCCCTGCTGCAGGGAAGAATGACATGAAGAGGCCCTGACTGGCTTCATCTCAGGTTCACCAGGCATAGGCACCCTTCAAAAAATTGATTCCACAGCTTTTATGCAGTATAGGAGGCTCTTCAGTTAATTGTCTCTCTTTGTTTAAGAAGTAGGTGGCTGGGCACTGTCTTACACCTGTAATCTCAGCACTTTGGGAGGCTGAGGCGAGCAGATCACCCGAGGTCCAGAGTTCAAGACCAGCCTGACCAACATGGAGAAACCCCATCTTTACTAAAAATACAAAATTAGCGGCCAGGCGCAGTGGCTCACGCCTGTAATCCCAGCACTTTGGGAGGAAGAGGTGAGCAGATCACAAGGTCAAGAGATTGAGACCATCCTGGCCAACATGGTGAAACCGTGTCTCTACTAAAAATACAAAAATTAGCCAGGCTTGGTGGCACATGCCTGTGGTCCCAGCTACTCAGGAGGCTGAGGCGAAGAATCGCTTGAACCCGGGAGGCAGAGGTTGCAGTGAGCCAAGATTGCACCACTGCACTCCAGCCTGGCAACAGAGCAAGACTCCGTCTTAAAATAAATAAATAAATTAGCGAGACGTGGTGGCGCATGCCTACAATCCCAGCTACTCAGGAGGCTGAGGCAGGAGAATCGCTTGAACCTGGAAGCGGAGGTTGCGGTGAGCCAAGATCATGCCATTGCACTCCAGCCTGGGTAGCAAGAGCAAAACTCCACCCCACCCCAAAAAAAAAAAAGTAGGCTTGCTGTTCCTTTGACGGATGTTTCTATAAATAGGCTATGCTGCAACCAGCACATCTGTGTCCTACAAGGTTTTTAAAGAATTGTAAAAGGGCTGGGCGTGGTGGCTCACGCTGGTAATCCCAGCACTTCGGAAGCCTAAGGCAGGAAGCTCGCTTGAGCCCAGGAGTTTGAGACCAGCCTGCCAACAAAGCAAGAAACCCAATCGCTACAACAAATTTCTAAAACCAAGCCAGGCATGGCGGCACATGGCAGTAATCCCATCTGCTCGGGAGGCTGAGGTGGGAGGATTACTTGAGCCTGGGAGGTGGAGGATGCAGTGAGCCGTCTTCATCATTCCAGCCTGGGTGACTCAGCCAGACCCTGTCTTAATAACAACAACAACGAAGTTATAAGTGAATGTCACTGTCATCCCTCATTTCTGCCCCAATCTGAAACACCGAAAGAGCTCGGCCTTGTGGCTCTCAGGACTCCTGCCCCCAGCATCAGCTCCCTCTACCCCACCCCACCCAGGCATCACACCCTGAATCAGACCCAGGTTTTCTGAAGGTCCCAGACACGACGCTGGGTTGTCCTTCTCCAGGCTGCAGGAGCCCAGGCTGTACCTGTGCGGGCGAGAGACCCCACTCTCCTGCGTACAGCCCTGCCTGAGCTGTGAGCGACAGCTCTGAATACGGAACTCCCTCAGCACA